AAAACGGCCTCGGCGAGGAAGCCAACATCATTGATTTTACTATGGTTTTGGCCCCATTTTGGCCTTCTGAGGGGGCAGCGCTAATTAAAGCTCCCCTCTTCTTTGATCGATTTCCTCCACGATGGCCGCAAGAGGCCCCCAGGATGCCCCAAGAGGCCGCAGGATGGCCCCAAGATGGCCCCAAGAGGCCCCCCAAGAGGCCCCCAGGAGGCCCCCAAGAGACCCCCAAGAGGCCCCAAGAGGCACCCAAGGTGTTACCAGAGGCCTTTTTACTATGGTTTGGGCCCCATTTTGGCCTTCTGAGGAAGCAAAGATGGCCCCAAGAAGCGCCCAGGAGGCCCCCAAAGGCCCCAAGATGGCCCCAAGAGGCCCCAAGAGGCCCCCCGGAGGCCCCGAAGAGGATCCCGAACGGCCCACAGAGGACCCCCCGAGGCACCCAAGACGCCGAAAAGCCCCTCAGGACGACCCTCTACTCGCCTGGGCGTCGTTTCTGGACGGGCTGGTGGGGATACGCGAAGCGTCTAGAATTGCATGGAAATCACGGGCGAGAGCGCAATTCCTTAATAAAATGTGAAGGGTTCTCTGGCGGGAGCGGGGGTCTTGATTAAATTGCGAGGAAGTCTTGATTCAATTGCGAGGAAGTCTCAAGCGGGAGCGCCGTTCCTGAGTAAATTGTAAGGAAATCTCAGATGGGAGCGGGGGCCCCGACTAAATTGCGAGGAAGTCACAGGCGGGAGCACCGGTCCTGAGCAAATTGTAAAGAAGTCTCTGATGCGGGGGCCCTGAGTAAATTTGGAGGATGTCTCAAGCGGGAGCCGTTGTTGTTGTAATCCGGGGGGCCAGGGTCCTAGTTTGAGCGCCAAGACTTTCCCTGTCAGAAAAACCAGGGTGCGAGCGTCGAGGGGCACACTTCGATTGAGAAAGAACAATATGCACCGGTGAGGGGGGATCAACAATAATTATTCTTCAGAAATGAGAGTTCAACTACAACAACAATAACAACACCACCACGAACAGCAACAACCAACAAAAGCATCAACAACACCAAAAACAACGAACAATAGACGTTTGAGACTGCTCGCTCTTATGCGCTCGCGTGCCACTCGACACGTGTATCCCAAGCCCTTGATACCCGCCATCTTCGTCGTCGATCGTGCCCCCTTGGGGGTACGGCTTTCTGATCTGCAACGTGTATTTCGCGCAGCCCCTATGGCAGGGAAGGGAGGACGGATGGAAGGAAGGGACATGGGGAGGGAGGAGGATGGAGCACGAGAGAGAGAGAGTAGCAAAAGGGGGGCCAGGCGCAGAAAACACACGTATCCTGAACCCTCGATCCCCGCCCTCTTCGTCTTCGATCGTGCCCCGTTAGAGCTATATCTGTTTTACCTGCAACGTGTATTTCTTGCAGCCACTAATCAGGGGAAGAGAGGACGGATGGAAGGAAGGGACAAGGGGGAGGGAGGAGGATGGAGCACGATAGAGAGAAAGTAACACAAGGGGGGGTAGGAACAGGAAGCACGTGGCAGAGCCAGACGGGCAGATCGGGCGGGTAGACCCGAACAGGCGGATCGGGAAGGCGGACCCAGGCGACCAGGTCGAGCAGGCGGGTTGCTGAAGCGTGCGTCCTGTATGAATCGCGAGGGACTCTCGAGCGACAGCGCGATCCCCAAATCAATGTTGAGAACGGCCAACAAGAGAGCGTGATTCCTGAGTGTCGAGGGCGCGGCGTCTGAATAAATTGCGAGGGTGTCCCACGCGAGAGCGCGATTTCTGCATACTTTGTGAACAAATCAGCGCGAACAGCAACTCTGGGAATACACTGAGAGCAAATCTCAGGCGGGAGGCGCTGTTTGTTGTAAGCCGGGGGGCCACAAAAACAATTCTGAGACCCAATACTTTCCATTGTAGAAAAAACAGGTTGCGAGCCCCGAGCAGGGCACTTCAATGGAAAAGGCACACTGTGCCCCAGAGGGGGGATTAACAATACATATTATTCAGCAGTGAGGGCTCAACAACAAGAACAACAGCAGCAACGGCAACAACAACAAACTCATCTTTGTTTTTTTTCCCCGGAACTGATTATTCTAATCCTCTCGGGTGACATTCAACGCGTGTATCTAAAACCCTCGATGCCCGCCCTCTTGATCGTCGATCGATCGTACCCGCTTGGGGGTATAGCTTTCTGATCTGCATCGTGTATTTCGCGCAGCCCCTATGGCAGGGAAGGGAGGACGGATGGAAGGAAGAGACATGGGGGACGGAGGAGGATGGAGCACGAGAGGGAGAGTAGTCAAAGGGGGGCTAGGAGCAGAAGCACGTGGCAAAACCAGACGGGCAGATCGGGCAGGTAGACCCTAACAGGCGGGTTGGGAAGGCGGGTCCAGGCTGTCAGATCGAGCAGGCGGGTTGCTGAAGCGTGCGTCCTGCATGAATCGCGAGGGACATCTCGAGCGATAGCGCGCTTCCCAAGTGAATCGTGAGAAAGGCCAAGGCGAGAGCGCGAGTCCTGAGTGTCGAGGGCGCGGCGTCTGAATAAATTGAAAGCATTTCCCACGCAAGAGCGCGATTTCTGGGTACATTGTGAAGACATCCCCCGCGACAGCGCGATCACTGCATACATTGTCAGAAGTTCAGCGCATACAATGTCAGAAGTTCAGCGCGAGCGGCGATTTGGGAACAATATGTGTGGAAGTATCAGGCGGGAACCGTTGTTGCTGCAACCGGGAAGCCCAAGGAACAATTCTGAGACCCTAGACTTTCCCTGAAAGAACCCGGTGCGAGTCCGAGAAGGGCACTTCAATTGATAAATCCCACCAGCACTCTGGGCGTAGGTGGTCTTGGGCGTTTCCTCTTCTCCTTCATTCCCTTCGAGGAGGAGTTCATCACTCACTGTTCCTTATTAGTATTCACCCCTTCCCCAGGCGACCGCCGTCCAACCAGGAACCATGAGGACACCATGACGACCCGCGCCCCACCATCAGTGCCAAAAAACATACAAACCGCACTCTGCCTCCACATTTGGAGCATGCGCGGCCAACCCGATGCGGCCCCGCCCCACCATTCCTTTCAAAAAACAATACAATATGCACTTCGGGGCAACATCTTGAGTCATGTTCGTGAGGCCTGCGACCACTTTGTATTGTTTTTGACAGGGACGGCGGGGGTGTCAACATATACTCAGCTGCGCGAAGGGCTACCACCCCTGACAAAAACAATGCAACATGCACTTCGCGGCAAAAACTGGATCATGCGCGACCATCCCGCGATCACTGTCAAATTGTTTGTTTCAAAGACCGCGGGGGCGGTGGCGCGTGGCCTGCTGTGCGCAGGCCCACCAGACACAATGATGGGCACTGGTTTTCGACAAGGATGGTGGGGGCCGACATGTTTCCCGATGTGTGCTGCCACGTCCGCAGGCGCACCTGACGCACTCTGCACGTGCCCTGAACGTGGCATGCCTGGCGCGGCTGGAGTGTGCGGCGCACCTGGCGCACTCGGAGCACGTGGCGCATCTGGCGCACCAGGCGTGCCCGGCACGCTCGGGCCCCAGGGGTGCCTGGCGCGCGTGGCGCCCCTGGCACTCGTGACGCACCTCGCCCAAGCGTCGCGCACCTGGGGTCGGCTTTGGTTCCCAGTAGCTGCCCATCCAAAGACGACCGCTGAACATGCTCAGACTTGGGTATTACTTATGTGTTGGGAGGGCGGGTGGGAGTGAGCTAGACGGCTTGCGGGCGGGTGGGTAGCTTGACCCCTCCCCCTACCCCACCGCCTGGATCTGGACGGTCCCTGCCGCGACCCATTGGAGCGTCCAAGATGGCCCAAGATGACTCCTAGATGGCCTCGGAGAGCCCAAGATGACCTCCAAGATGGCTCAAGATGGCCTAAGATGGCCCCCAAGATGCCCCAAGAGGCCCCAAGACCGCTCCAAGACGGCTCCAAGTGGCCACGGAGTCCCCCACGGAGGCCCCCAAGAGGCCAACATCCTTCCAAACCGTATCGCCTTTTCGCTTTCGATGGCCTTCCGAAGCCTCAAGATCGCTCCAAACGGCTAAAGAGGGCCCAAAGAGAGGCCCAAGAGAGCCCAAAGACGGCCCCAAGAGCGCCCAAGAGCGCTCCAAGAGGGGTCCAAGATGCGATGTTAGACACTCTCGAAGGGCGAGGCTAATTGAAGCTCCTCCCTTTTTGGATCGATGTACAACATGGCTCCAGGAGCGTCCCGTCCCCAAGGCCCCCAAGAGCGCCCCAAGAGGGCCCCAAGAGGCGCCCAGGAGGCCCCAAGAGGCGTCCAAGAGGCCTCCTTGAGGCTCCCACAAGAGCCCCTTATCTATCCTCCTCCTTTTGTTCCTGCTGCGAGCGATAACGGCTGCCACCCTCTTTGCTCCTACGCTTCCCTGATCACCTCTGCTCCTCTTGGCGTCGTGTCTGATAGCCCTGGCGTCGTTTTCTGGATGGGCTGGTGGGGATATGCGAAGCGTCAAGAATACAATATGCCCCGGAGGGGGCGGGATCAACACAAAGTATTCCCCAGCCGAGAGAATTCAACAACAACAACGACATAACAACAACGACGGCACCAACAACCACAACGACAACGACAAAGCAATGAAAACGACAGTTGAAATGACACTGCAAACGACAACGACAACGACAACGACAACGACAACGACGACAACAACACCAGCAACACCACTACCACCATCAAAAACAACAACACCAACACCAACATCACCACCACAACCACCACCACCAATAACAACGACAACCACAACCACAACCACAACCACAACAACAACAGCAGCAGCAGCAACAACAACAACACCAACACCAACACAAACACCACCACCACCAACACCAACAACAAAAGCAACAACAACAACGACAACATAACAAAAGAGACGCCTTGTCGCTTCCCGGGGCCACGAGTGGGGCAATGGCATCTCGAACGCCACCTCCTCCGCGCTCGTCCCTGCCGGCGCCCCCCCCCCCTCGGGTAAAAGCGCCTCCTTGAGCCGGGCGTGCTCGCCCCGGACGCCGTTGACCGCGACGATGCTGTCGCCCTTGCCGACCTCCCGGGCAGGGTCGGTCGAATCGGGAGATTGCACAACGCACAACGCTCAACGCTCAACGCACAACGCACAACGCACAACGCACAACGCACAACGCACAACGCACAACGCACACGCACACGCACACGCACAACGCACACGCACAACGCACACGCACAACGCACACGCACACGCACACGCACACGCACACGCACACGCACGTGCATCGAAGCCGGGGTCCCGAAACGAGGCGGCGACGGGGACCATGCGGTGGCTCTGGCATCCCCGACGACCTCGCCGCACTGCCCGTCACCTCGGAGGACCCTCGGGGGCCCAAGCCGCTCGCGAGGCGTCCTCGGAGAATGCTCTGCGGCGCCCCGCTCCCGACACAAGCCCCCCCGTCTCCTCCCCGAGGCCTCACCGTGGACCTCTCCCCGTCCAAAGTGGCTTCGCTCCCCCTCCCCCTCCCTCGGGCCACGACGGCGGCCAATGCGCGCTGCGGGCGGCCTGGCATGTCATTCGAGCGCGGTGGGTTGCCAGCGGACACGGGCATCGCTATTCCCCGGACCTCTCCCGGGGTGCGCTCTGACCAAAATTTCGAGGCGGCTCCAGCCGTGGCGTCGAGGGCCTCCGAGGAGGCCAAGAAGACGAACCCGACGCAAGGGGAGCGGTGTCGGTACCTTTTCCTCCTCTGATGTGAGAGGGGGGGAGGCTTTCTCGGCGGTGGGCAAACCCCCCTCTAGTAAACCTCTCCTTAGTGAAAACGGCCTGGGACCGAAACCGACGGACTTGGACCCGCAAAAATGATGGCCGCGACGCCCTCTCGCGAACCTAAAACGGCCAATTAGCTCATCGACGTGTCACAGCAGGAGGTCTATCCACCTCCGACTTTCGTGCCGCGAAGAGCGTCGCGCGCGGGGTCGCGCGCGAGAAGCCTGCCGGGCCGGGTTGCGGGCGTTCCACGCGGCCACCATGCCAGAGTCGCTGAACCTGGGCGCGCCCCCCGGTTCACGCGTGGCAGCCGCCTCCGCCGCCTCCGCCCCCCCCCCCCCGCATAAGAAAAGCACGTTCACCCGGCGCGACACCAGTGAGGGGGGGGCTTCCTGCTGCATGAGCGCACTGCGTGGCATCGCCTGGCACATCGCTTTAGAACTGCGTGGCACTGCTCGAGATTGCGTGGCATTGTGTGACACTGCTTGGCACTGCGTGGCATTGCTTCACGTTTCGCGGCATCGATTGGCAGTGCTTGGTATTGTGTCGTGCTGCGTGGCATTGCTTGGCATCGGCTGGCGGTGCTTCGCACTGCTTGGCATTGCGTGGAGGCAAGACGGAACAAACACCAAAGAACCAAGGAACAAAGACCAACGAACCCAGGAACCACAACTAAGGAACCAAGGAACCCAGACCAAGGAGCTAAAGACCAGGGCCAGGGAACACTGGAGAACCATGACCAAGGAACCCAGGAACCAACCAAGGAGCCATGGAACCAAGACCAAAGAGCCCTGGAAACGAGGAGCCAAGACCCGAAAAGTGAGGAACCGAGACCAAAACATTCAGAAAAAAACGCCCGATGAAGGCAGCCAGAGAATCTGGACCACGGAACCACGAGACCTGCACGGTTTCCCCCGGGGCCGTAGGCGACCCGAGGAGGAGGATGAGGAGGCGGTGGATGAGGACGAGGGGGAGGAGGAGGAAGAGGAGGAGGAGGAGGAGGAGGAGGAGGACAAGAAAGATGAAGAGGAGGAGGAGGAGGAGGAGGAGGAGGAGGAGGAGGAGGAGGAGGAGGAGGAGGAGGGAGGAGGAGGAGGAGGAGGAGGAGGAGGAGGAGGAGGAGAAGGAGGAGGAGGAGGAGGAGGAGGAGAAAGGGGAGGGGAGGGGGAGGAGAAGGACGGGTCGCTTAGGCCCTTCGGAGAAACCCTCCAACGGGACCAAGTCGTTAACCAAGAAGCCTCGAGGAACGTCGGCCAGCACAGGCCCCGCACCCACTGGCTCCTCAAATAGCGCAGGGAACGCCCGTAGGCAGAGCCTCACCGGGGGAGCGACGGGCGAGAAGACCCCCCCCCGGGCACGCCCCCCGATGGCTTTGACCTTTGAAGCACGATGGCGCGCCGCAAGACGATCACAACGTCCAAATAGCACCAATCCCACGGAAGCCGAAGAGACCTTTCCAGGCCGCGGGTCGCCGAAGGACCGGCTCTTCGGCCCGAGGCGCCTGTGGACGGTGCCGAGTGCCGAGGCCCCGCGAGGGTCCCAAGCAGAAACCGGCAAGAACAGCAGCCGCTTTTGCGTATGACGCGAGCACGTCTGGTACGCTTCATATATATATATATGTATATATACACACACTAGAACCATCGAGCGCGCCTCGCGCGCGCGCAATTTGTAGCTACGCCTGTTGGGCCAACGCATGGAATATCATCCTCGTCGTTTCTTGCATCCAGGGACTCTCTCAGAGACCCTGCACAAGCCTCGGAATCGTAAAGAAGGAGAACTGCGGAAACGCCAAACAACATTACTGCCGTATCTGTGGCTTGTTGTTCAACAATAGGCAAGGGACGAACTTGGAAAAAAAACGGAATGGTGAGATTTCCATTTTTTTCAAGTTGTAGTGCCTGGGCTGTGGGTTTGACGTTTTCCGCATGCAAGCTACGGTCTGTTGGGATGCCTCTCGGGGTCTTCGAGCCAGAATAAGCAGACACTGGTTTGAAAACCAAGGAATTCTAAAGTTCCATTGCTCCAACTCATGGAAGCATGAGATCTCGATTTCGATAATGGTTTCAGGGGCAGCCAAGAGCACACGAAGACGATCCAAGAGAGTGGCACGACAGCGTCAGAGAGTTCAACAGCATTCCCGAAACACTGTTGCATGTGACCCTGAATTCTTGATGGGGCTCGAGGGAGAGGATAGGGAGTAGGAGTCCCAACCTGAAAAAAGAATATCTGGAATGCCTTCTTCTTTTCAAATTGCTCGGTCTTGGAGCATTGGAAGCGGGAGAACGTGAGAAGGCGGAGCACGTCGACAAAAAGTCTAATAAAACCACTGGAAAGTAACGAGTTGACCCTCTTCGGGCTCTCTCTGGACGGCTCTCGAAGCTCTCTTGGACTGTTTGGGGGGCCTCGTCGGGGATTCTTTTTGGGAGCCTCTCAGGGGTCTGGGGTGTGTTGGAGGCCTCTGGGGTGTCCCGGAGTCCTCCCAGAGGTCTCTGGAGGCCTCCTGCTCCCGCTCTTGGGCTCATCTTGGGCCTGTTTCGGGGTGGTCTGGAGCTGTCCTGGGCGCGTCTTCGGCAATTTGGGGGCTGCCTTGGCACGTCTTGGGGCCGTCTTGGGGCCCTCTTGAGCGGTCTCGGGGCGGTCTTGGGGGCCTCTTCGGCCATCTTGGAGCGAGCGTTGGAAGCATGAAATAGTGAGAATGCTAAAAACCACAAACAACAAACATAACAATTAACGATGTTAGGTTCTCCGGGCGCTCTCGGGAGGCCCCTCGGAGTTCTCTTGAAGTCTCTTGGAAGCCTCCTGGGGGAGCCTGGAGAGCCGCCCGAAACCTATCCTGGGGTGCTCGGGAGCGTCTCGGGCCTTTGACGTTCTGGGGGCTCCTTGGGGTCGTCTTGGGCTGTCCTTGGGCATTTGGGGGGCTCCTGGGGAGGTCGGGAAACGCAGTACCGGGAGCGTTCCGCAGATGTTCGGGGAAGGTGTGGGACCCCCGGGAGGGGGGGGGCGCGCGTGTATCAAATTTGGAAGAACAGGGGAATCTCTAACATCGCTTAAAAATGGAATTAAGAAATCATCGGTCTTGGAGCGTTGGATAGCGGAAAACGTGAGAAGGCTGAAAAAGTCCACAAAACACTGAAAATCAACGCTTTTACCCTCCTCGGGCTCTCTCGGGACGGCTTTCGAAGCTTTCTTGGGCTGTTTGGGGGGCCTCGTCGGGGCTTTTTGGAGGGCCTCTCAGGGGTCTGGGGTGTGTTGGAGGCCTCTGGGGGGTCCCGAAGTCTTCTCAGAGGTCTCTGGAGGCCTCCTGCTCCGCTCTTGGGCTCATCTTGGCCCTGTTTCGGGGTGGTCTGGAGCTGTCCTGGGCGCCTCTTCGGCAGGTTGGGGCCGTCTTTGCCCGTCTTGGGGCCGTCTTGGGGGCCTCTTGGGCGGTCTTGGGGGCCTCTTCCCGTCTTTGGGCATTTTGGGAGCTCCCCAGGAGGCCGGGAAACGCGGTACAAGGAGCGTACACCAGATGTGAGCGAGGTGGAGGGCGCCCTCGGAAGGGGGCCCGGGCTTTTTGTTTATATTAGATATACATAATTTTATAAGTAGAAGTTCGGGAATGAGAGGAGTGCGTGACCACTGAACCTCGTCACGGCGTGACTAGCAGTCGCGCGGAACAGACCATCGCCCAGTAAACCAGAAACGTTTCACGAGCCGACTTGCTGTAGGCAAACTCATGCCATGAACTTCGGCCTGGGAGACAAAGCGATGGCAACATAAGTGTAAAAAAACAAAGGGGGATGCGAAGGGGGACAGCACAAGGCGAAAGAGGACGGGACTCACCAATCCGCACCCCTCGGTTTCCTGGACGGATGCCCGGGTGAGCCCTCTGATGATAATCCTCGTGTCCTCGTACTCGACCTCCACGCCAAGCCGGTCGGTGGGCTGCCGCTTCTGCAGGAGGACGGTGAGCTCCTGCAGAAAAAATACTGCTTGCACAGGGAGGTGGCGAGAGCTTCTCGCACGAGCGACGAGAAGCAGTGGGCCTTACGCGAGATGGCATAGCGACCTTACGCTGTGGCTCACGCAGGCCGCCAGCGCTAAACGCTGAATTGGAAACGACGAAGCTCACGCGCGATCTGACGCGGGAAGCCTACGCGCCAACGTCGGCGAAAACGGCCCCCTTTTCCTTGCGCCCCTCATATGCACAGCCAGGCCGCTGCCGCGCACGGACCGTGGGCACCACGCAGACTTTCGGTGGCTCGCGAGGATTCCTTGGACCGGCGCTGGGCCCACCCTGGCGGCGACTCGGGCGCCGCCCCTGGCGCGCCCCGCGCGCCAGGGAGGAGGGTGCGCCGAAGATCCAAGATATCCTCCCAGAGCTTTGAAACTCTCTAGGCGTAACTGTGCCGCTGGACATTCCTCTATCACGCTGGATGTTCCTCTGTCATACATGTACGATGTACCATGTGACAGCCCCTCTGATATACAGCTCTCGCCATCTACGAGGGGAAGACGAGGATGATACATGATAATGAAGAAGGTTACGGCGACGAGGAATCCAAGGAAGATAGCGCAAATCAAGATGGACATAACAGGTTAACTCACCGCCATCATACTTTGACCCCCGCTCATTCATCTGATCACATTGCATCTTCTCATCGTTGACCGACGCTTTACAAGCATAATCAAGAGCACTGCTTTCCTGGCAACTGCTAATACAAATCACAGCTGGACATCGTCATCCGAATCACAAATCGACCTCACGCCCTTCCGCTTCCTCTTTCTCCACCCTCCTCTCCGACGTAAACACCACCACCATTCACCTCGTCGCAATGCTCTGCGTGCTGCTCACCATTGCATTCCCCCATCATACTCACAACCGAAATATGACCAATCATCCTCATCCACGGGCTCCCCATCGTCATAAACTCATTCGCAACATCCTCCTCCTCATCCTCGTCACAGCCGCCATTCGCTGATACTGTCCGCCGCGCCAGCATCGAGCACGAACCATTTGTGACTCAAGCCTCTCCCTGCTCGACGGTCCCACCTTGGTGGATCCAGCTGTGGAACAGCGTGCCATGGCCTTCCACTTTTTCCTCCTCCTCCTCCTCGTCTTCCGCCGCCTGCGTGCTCCTGGCCTTCCGCCTGCGTTTTCTTGACCTTCGCCTTCACCCTCACCTTCGCCCTGGCGTCTGAGCAGCCGCTGCGGCTCGCTGGAGCGACGGTCGGTGCAGCAGGCGGGATGGCCCCACCTCGCCCAGACAGGGGGCCTATGACTGCTGATGTCAAGATCCTGTTCCTTCTCCTCCTCCTCCTCCTCCTCCTCCTCCTCCTCCTCCTCTTCCTACTCCTCCTCATACTTCTCTGGGGGGCGCAGTCCAAGGAGTACTCCTCTTACTAAACTAGGGGTACACCTTACTCTGCCACACGTTTCCTCCTCCTCCGCCTCCTCCTCCTCCCCTTCCCCTGCAGCCAATCCCCGGGCCAGGCCTCCTGACCTCCTCGCCCGACCGCCCCGGCATGGCCCCGGCGACTGGGGGGGGCTTGGCTTGCTCTCTCCCTCTCTCTGGCGCGTCCAGTGCTTCGTGGACGACTCGAGTCGGGATTTGCCTCCAAACCAGCCTCCTCATCGCCGCCGCCCGTTTGGCATGAGGCATGGAGGACCCAGACCTCCGACGTCGTGATTTTGCTTACAACGTCGACCTCCAGAGGTCTGGACCCCGTCCCCAGGATCACTTCCTCATCCTGAGTCGTTTTTGACGGTGCCAGGGCCTGGTAAAGACCCAAGAGGCTGGAAATAGTAAGCAAAAAAAAACGCGAGGGGTCTGGGAGGAGAGGGGTCTGGATGGGGAGGGGGTCCTGGCCCCGGGCGGAGCCACCCCCTGCGGGGGGGCAGCTCCTCTGGCCTGGGCCACCAGCTCTGTGGACGGCCCCGGGAGCCAGGGAACAGCCCAAACACAGCGCTGCCTCCGGGCACTTCCCTCAGTCTGGGTAGTCGAAGCCAATGTGGCGCCAACCTGGCAGGCCCAAGCTGGCAAACGGGGGCAGTCTGGCGAGGGAGCCAACGCGAATCCAGTCTGGCGAATAACCCAAATCCTCCAATCTGGCCAGGCCAGATTGGCCCTTGGGGCCCAATCCAGTCTGCCAGTCTGGCCTTCGACTACCCAGTCAGTGGGGATGAATTCGTGCCGGGGCCTGTGAGAAGAGAGCTTGGAGGAAGGGTTTACTCCAGCATCGTTGATGGGTCTTAGGTTCACACCGGTCCTCCTCCTCCTCGTTTTCCTCCTCACTCCTCACCCCTTCCTGGTCCTATTCCCCCTCCCCTCCCACCTCCACCTGCATCCCCCTCTTCCTCCGTCCCCTCCGCGCTCCCCCCTTCCACTCCCGCACAAGATCCCAGCTCCTATCCCAGACCCCCGACGTCATGATTTGTCATAACGTCGACCCCCAGTAGTCTCGACCCACTCCAGGCACTTGTTTGAAAGTCCCGAGGCTCGGTCAGGGCCCCCAAAGCCTGAGGACCGCGAAAAACCTTCCGTCCTACTTCTGCCAGGGCTCCCTTGGGACCCCGCCCCTTCACTAGGCCGCCCTCCAGCTGCCCGCCCGAGATCGGCCCCATGTCCCCCCATGGACCCCTCCCCTCGGGGCCCGTGCTGTCCCCCATGGGCCCCTCCCTCGTGCCCTACCTTGGGAACCCCCTTAAAACGGGGCTAGGATCGGGATAAATCGCTCCAGAGCGTTCCCGAGCGCTCTCAGAGCGTTCCGGAACGCCCCGGAGCGGCCGCGGCGCCCAATGCATCCTCCAAACCCGCCGATTCTCAGAGATTTCGAGTTATCCCGATCCGATTCTGTCCCGATCTTCGCGTCGTTTTGGGCCCCTCCCTCGGGCCCCACCTTGGGAACCCCCTCCTTCACTAGGCGGCCCTCCGGCTGCCCGCCCGAGGCCGGCCCCGTGTCCCCCCATGGGGCCCCTCCCCTCGGGGCCCGTGCACTCTTCCGCGCGTGCTTGGGGCAGAGCCCAGCCGTGGCGGCGCGCCCAGGCAGTGCTCGAGGCGACGACGACGACGACGACGACGACGACGCCGTCGACAAGACGATGATGATGGGGATGAGGGTGACGATGATGACGATGACACTGATGGTGATGATGAGGAGGAGGCTGATGATGTTGATGATCAGGATGATCATGATACTGATGATGCTGATGATGCTGATGCTGATGCTGATGCTGATGCTGATGCTGATGATGATGATGATGATGATGATGATGATGATGATGATGATGATGATGATGATGATGGTGACGATGAGCATGATGATAGACAAGATGACGGTGATGCTGACGACGACGACGACGACGAAGACGACGACGACGAAGAAGGCGACGTTAACGACGAGAACGACAACAACGTCGACGACAGCGTCATCGACGACAGCGATTGTCGTCGACGCCCGCCGCCGCGCGGCCAAAGTCGGCGGATCGAAAAGGGGACCCCGAGATATGCGTCCCCAGAAATAGGAATCGGATCTCAGGCTGAGCCGTCACCGTCCCTCCCTCGCCCTTTCTCCCCGTCCCCTGGGGCCCCGCCTCTGAGCCGACGGCCCTCCTCGTCTTGAGCCGTATCCGACCGTCCCGGCATTCCGACACTGGCCATAGCTCGGACGTCCATTCCCTGTGTTTTTTTTTCGGTTTCGTGCATGGTTTTTTCGCCAAATGATCAAGGATGCTCCTCGATGGTCCTCGCCGAAGGAAAAATGCACACGTTTGAGCGATGCCAAGGACAGGCCTACCACGAAATGTTCTACGCGTCTAGAGCAAGCGAGTGTTCTAAGGACAAGAGCCATGTCTCTCGAGCGGCCGATGCGTCAGAACAGGACGGCCCCAGCCAGAGAGCTGCAGAGAACACGCCGTGCAGGCCGCAGGGGAGCCACGGCACAGCCGTTGGTGGGCTCACGGGCAGGCCGCAACGCTTCGCACTGTCTGACATTCCCCCTCCTCTGGCTGGAGGGCCCCCGCTGAACCCTCGACTCCTGTTGTACAGTCGGGGCGTTTACCTAAGGAACCCTAAATAAGGAACGAGGCCCCTTGTTCCCATAAGTTGAACTTCGATTTCCCATGGAAAACCCAACGCAAACTGTAAAACAATCAAGGAACACTGAGCCCCTCGCCAACGAGAAGGGTTCCTTCTCCAGCGCCCCGACTGTACCTCGGCAGGGCGCGGGGGCGGCACATCCCCGACCGTGGCGCCTGCGCCAACGTCCGAACAGAAGAAGCAAGTACTCCAGATTTCGTAATAAAGGGAGGGGGGTCTCATTTCGGGGGGGGGTCTCTTCCAGGCTATCTTGGAGGGCCCGGGGGGGTCTGGGGACGATGTTTTGGAGGGTTTTCCCACGGGGGAGGTCTGAAGTGGCTTGTCTTGGAGGTCCAGACCCCCTCCCATTTATTACGATATCTGGAGTATACATCCACATCGGCATCGCTGTCTGCCCTTCGCCTGCAGCCCCCTTCCCCGAAAGCAAGCTCCCTAGAAAGTCGCCCTCCCTCGCCACCCTTCGACGCTTCGGGCGGCCGCCGGCCGTGGCCGGCCGCGCACGCGCCGCCACGAGGGGCCCTCCCCGCAGGGACGGGCCCGCAGACACGACGCGTTCCGACCCTCCTCCTCGCCATTCGAATCCTTTCCTGGCCCTCTTCCCCCTCATCCCTACCTCCTCCTCCTCCTCTCCTCCTCTCCTGATACCTCCTCCTCCTTCCTCCTCCTCCTCCTCCACAATCCTCCTCCTCCTCCTCCACCTCCTCCTCCCCTCCTCCTCCTCCTCCTCACTCCTCCTCCTCAGGACCCCCCTCCTCCCCCTCCTCCTCCTCCTCCACCTCCTTCTCCTCCTCCTCCTCCTGCTCCTCCTCCTCCTCCTCACATCCTCCTCCTCCACCTCCTCCTCCTCCCTCCTCCTCCTCACTCCTCACTTCCTCCTCACTTCCTCCTGGACTCCCCCTCCTCCCCCTCCTCTCCCCTCCTCCTCCACCTCCGCCTCCTACCTCCTCCTCCTCCCCCTCCCCTCCCACTCCCCCCTCCCCGCTCCTCCTCCTCCTCCTCCTCCTCCTCCTCCTCCTCCTCCTCCTCCTCCTCCTCCTCCACCTTCTCCTCCTCAGCCGCCGCAGCCGCCGCCTCCTCGCTCCGCTTCTCCGCCCCGCTCCTCGCTGCTCGCTCTTCGCTCATCGCTGCTCGCTTCTCGCTCCTCGCTCCTCCTCCTCCTCCTCCTCCCCCTTCTCCTCCTCCTCCTCCTCCTCGCTTCTCTTCACTCCTCGCTCCTCTGCGCTCCTCGCTCCTCGCTCCTCTGCGCTCCTCCTCCCCCTCCGAGGGCGGCGGCGTTCCTCGGGACCCTCCCGCGGCGCGGTGCCCTCGGGCTCCGCTGGCGGCCGGCCCTCGCGCGCGCTCGCGCGAGAGCGAGGGTCGCGACACGAGAGCGCCGACGACGGCGCCGCCGACGACGACGACGACGGCGACGGCGACGACGATGACGACGACGGCGGCGGGGACGACGACGGCGGCGACAACGCGGCGGCGACGACGACGACGACGATGATGCCGACGACGACGGCGGCGGCGGCGACGACGATGCCGACGACGACGGCGGCGGCGGCGACGACGACGACGACGCCGACGACGACGACGGCGACGACGAAATCGGTGACGACGGCGACGGCGACAATGGCGGCGGCGACCAGCTGGACCTTCCCCGAAATTGGGGCATGAGAGGTTCAACGCTGCCCTGCATCCTCCGAGTCCGCTCCTCCTCCTCGCTCCTCCTCGGTCTTCCCTCCCCCACCCTCCTCGATCCTCCTCCTCCTCCTCCTCCTCCTCCTCCTCCTCCTCCTCCTCCTCGTTCCACGTTGCTTCGCCACCTCGTCCCGCTCCTCACGGTCCTCACGGCTCATCACCACCGCTCCCCCCCCTGGCCCCTCGCTACGAGGCAACGATGAGGGGAGACTGGCTCAGGGAGGGGAAGCGTCGAACTGGAATCGGCGATACGTCGCCGATCTTGTATCGGTGCTGGGCACCCGATGACGGATCCGAGCGCTCCTGGGGAGGGTGGGCCTATCAGACCCCTTATCGGCGATCAATGGGCGATTGGGGGTCGATTCGACTGGGGGATCGACTACAGAATTGATTTGCCCCAGAATTGATTTCCGCGTCGACTCTTCCGTAAAAATACGTCGACCATTCGTAGATCTCCGGGAGTTCTACGAATTGCCCGTGGATGCGACGAGAAAACACAATTCTGGGGCAAATCAATTCTGTAGTCGATCCCCTACTCGATCGATTGGCGTGCGGCCCCGGGCCGGCCGGGCGGTGTCCATCTGGTTCACCGGTTTGCCCTGGATCTTCTTTGGCTTGCGGAGTTGGGGCCCGAGGGCGGCCCCCAGAGTTGGGTCGGGCATGCTCCCCCCACACAGGCAGATGTTGGACGTTTGCATAAGACCCCTCTCATTTCACAAGCCTTTGCTATCCCACATGGTGGGATTGGTGCTTCGCAAGGAGAACTGGTATACAGGCCGTAGGTGAGGAAGAAACCGTTGTTCAAATGCAACCGCTTGTTTCCGCAGCCATTCCTGCCAGGAGAAATAATCAGGATCGTTGGTAGCGAGAGGCTACTGTGCGTCCGCCATCCGAGTACCAAACTGTGTGTTTGAGTGAACTGCACTTGAGATGGAGCAGCAGATGCTTCAGTTGCAGGCGGAGTTGCGGGCGGCTGTGCAGCAGATTGGTGTTCTGCAGCAGCAGGTGCATCAGGGTCAGCAGGTGCAGGACCAGCAGGCGCGTGCGCTGGAAGCGCAGGCTCAGCAGGCTCAGCGTCCACAGCGAGGTGATCGCGGAGACGGTGGAGGAGGGCCTCAGCGGCGCCTGGGCATTGATGCTCGTCAGCTGCCTCGCCCAGACGTCTACGACGGCGAGGACAAGAAGTGGAAGGATTGGAGCATTGTGTTTCGATCATATGCGTCGTTGGCCAATGAGCGCATCGGGCCGCTGATCCAGCGGACGGAGCAGGCGGCTGTCAATGAGCCGTTGCTGAACGTCGGGATGGACGCTGAGGATCAGCAGGCCAGCCGGGATCTCTACCACTTGCTGCTCTCGCTCACTCGCGGCGCAGCGCTGGACAAGGTCTGCAACGCCGGCGTCTTGGAGGGGGCGTACGCGTGGCGTCTGCTGGTGGACCGCTGGGAACCCCGTCTTCGGAGTAGGGCGGCAGGGCAGCTTCTGGAGATGCTTCGCTGGAGTTTCAGCGGTGATTGTCTTACTCGTCTGGAGGCGTTTGAACGAGCGTGCACCCAGTATGAGAAAACGAGTGGCACCCCGTTGACTGAGAACTTGAAGGTCGGCATCGTGCTGAACAACCTGGAGGATGGGTCTGTGCGTGACCACATGATTCTCAACGCAGAGCGCCTCCAGGATTGGCCGGTCTTCAAGTCAGAGTTGGAGCAAATCATGCGTGTCAGGACCTTTGCTGCGTCCTCCCGGGGGCCTGACGACATGGACGTGGGTGCGCTGGGCCTCAAGGGAGGCAAGAAGGGACAGCCGGAGACGCGCAAATGCTTCAAGTGCGGCAAGAAGGGGCACTTGGCTCAGCATTGCCGCAGCGGGCCTCCTGGGCCCAAAGGCGGTGGTCGTGGCGGCCAGACCCTCAACGATGGCGGCAAGGGCGCGGATCGTACTTGTTTTAAGTGCGGCAAGAAGGGCCACATGGCGAAGGACTGCCGCTCTAAGCAGGTCGGTAACATCGACGAGGCTCCGAAAACCGGCGACGCCGACCGAAGGGGCCCGAGAAGGGACCGAAAAGGGAAGCCGAGAGACAGAACCCAGGGCCCAAGAGCGTCCGAGCGAAAAGGAGACCTTGAGGCCCCAAGATGGCTCCAAGATGGCCCAATGGCGCTCCAAGATGGGCCCAAGACGGCCCCAAGAGCGCCCCAAGAGGGCACCTAGATGCTCTGTGTCGGCCTCCGAGGTGGCAAAACGTAATTGCGGACTCCCTTCTTCAATGGAGGGGTGAACAGCTCGCGAGGCTTAGTTGTTGTTCTAGGCCGAATGTCTGCGGACCGAACAAGACGGCCCCAAGAGCGCCCCAAGAGGGCACCTAGATGCTCTGTGTCGGCCTCCGAGGTGGCAAAACGTAATTGCGGACTCCCTTCTTCAATGGAGGGGTGAACAGCTCGCGAGGCTTAGTTGTTGTTCTAGGCCGAATGTCTGCGGACCGAACATGGTTTCTGCGGACCGAGCATGGGATGCGGAATTAAACCTCCCGATACATGCTGACCGTACCCATCGCGGGGACGGTATTAATGAAACAACGCAGAACGCAAACCGTCGTGCGCATTGGTTCATGGACATCGGACGCAAACCGACCGATCCATGCTGACCGTACTGATCTCGGGTAAGCGGCTTTATTCCCCTACATTGAAAGAAGTGCGGAACGCAAGCTAACGTACGCATCGACGCATGGAAAGCGGAAGCAAACCTCCCGATTCATGCTGGACGTACTCATTGTGGGCAAGCGACAGTAGCCCCCTGCATCAGAGGGAGAGGTGCCGAACGCAAGCTGCCGTGCCCATCGACGCCTGCGTGTGACCATCTTCTCCCAGCAACCCTCCGATGGTGAACCTAACACGATCGAGGTGCTTGACGTAGAAGTTCAGATACTGGGTGCCCTGCTGTGTGTGCCCACGGACAACTTTCAGTTCTAACTCCCCGAGTTTTGTCCAACTCATCCCCTTCCTCTGAACTTGAAAACGAAGACCGCCTGCCTGCCTCGCCTCCGCCCATGCCCCTGTGATATTCACTTCTTGGATGTACATGTCTGCGCAATGTCCACCCAATTGTTGTACCAAGGCCTCTACATTAATCAATGTCGTCTCGGCAGACGCTCCCTTCGGAATCTGTATCAAAACGTGCTTGCCAGGCTGCATCAGGTCGAACCGCTCACCAAAAATGTTCTGCAAATGCGGATCGCCAGTAGCAGCCACAGATGCGCCGGCTCCAGCCCCGCCCATCGCTGGCGTCTGGTAGGGCGTCGGGTTGGGCGTCGGGTTGGGCGTCGGGTTGGGCGTCGGGCTCGGCGTGGGGTTGGGCGTGGGGTAGGGCGTGGGGTAGGGCGTAGGGTAGGGCGTGGGGTAGGGCGTGGGGTAGGGCGTCGGGTTGGGTGTCGCCGCCGTGTGCTGAATGTCGATCTCCAACCTGGATGCACAATAAGCACTCGCGGAATAACCGGGACTGATGGAGTTGCTACCCCAATTCCAGTTCGGGATGCCGTTCGGGTACGTTGCGCTCGAGGCGGTGCACGCGAGGCACACGCCGCAACTGCAATCCGTCGGAGAACCACAGTATCCTGAGGCGGTCGTGCCTGACAAAAACATTGACAGAGTCCCCACGCTGCACTTGGCTCCGTATGCCGTTACTGTCCACTTGGTGACCGTGCCCAGGTTGACGCCGCCGAAATTCACACTAGCCCATGCCACATCGTAGTCGCCGTTTTGGCCGAGGCAGTTGTACCCTGATCTGCCGCAAATCGAGCAATGGCCTGCAGTACCATACACGGTGTATGGGTCTTGCGCCTGGCGTGACTGTGTTGTGCTGTTCTCGTCGAATTCGACCACAACATGCAACTTGCCCACACCGTCATCCGTTTCCTGGACGACGACGGGGGGCATTGGTGCAGGCTCACTCTGCACGACATCAGGGTCTGCCTTCCTGAGATGCTGCTGCATCATGTGATCGTCGACGTGGCCGCGCTCAAGCGAGCCGATAGAAGCAACACTGACGAGCCCCATGTAGAAATACATGATGATATACATCGCTACTGTGGCGCGGGCGCGCGCGCCGGTCCGCACCCGTTGCAGTGACCCTTGGGCCGCACAAGTGCTGCCCGCACCGCCCCGCCCCTCATTCCTAGTAACATCCGAAACACGAAGAGCGAAGGGAAGAGAGATAAGCAGAGAGAGGGCACACACACACACACCACATGATCGACCCACGAACCCGGAAAGGAAAATAGACGTTGCAAAGACACCTGATTGGGCGCCCAAAAAAGTTCTGAGAACAAAGGCGGTGTTCTCAGAGCACAAGCCCGATGTACTGAAGCAGAGCAATCTCGAGAACGTCCCGCGCAAACCGTAACAAAAACTTCTTAGAACATTCTGTGGTGGGCCTATCGGCAAGCCAGGACGCTTCGCCACTGCTTGGCCTCCTTGGACGCCCGAGTCATCCGGGGTAACTCGGGTCCGGGGTAACTCGGGTTTGGGTTCCCGGAAAACGAACCCGAGTTAACCCTGACCCGAGTTATCCCTGATAATTCGGGGCTCTGGACGCCCGAAATATCCGGGGTAATTCGGGTTCGGATTCCCGAAATACGAACCCGAGTTATCCCTGACCCGAGTTACCCCTGACGATTGGGGGCTCTGACCTCCTGCTCGCCGATAGGAAAAAAACAAAATATAATCACCGATAAAAAAAGTTAATAATGTGACAAAAAAATACAAATAAAAAAAGAAACAAAAATAAACAAAGCTAAATGATAAGGAAAACACAAGAGAGCAAAAGAAAAACATAAAAAAGAAATTTAAAAAGACAAAAAAGCACCGCCCAATTTCCCGCACGCCGCGGCGCCGCCCCCGGCAGCCGCCGCCGGCCGCGGCCCTCGCGCCCCCCGAAAAAACCCCCCCCGGCCACCGGTCCCTCAGGCTGCGCAGGGGGCGGGAGGTCGCAGCAGAGGCGGGGGCCACGTCGAGGCGGGCGCCACCGGTGGCCTCCGGGGGGGGGTTGGGAGGGGGGGGGGGAGAGGAGGATGAGAGGAGGAGGAGGAGGAGTAGAGGATGAGGAGGATGAGGATGAGAGGAGGAGTAGGGGAATGAGGAGGACTGGAGGAGGAGGAGGAGGAGGGAGGAGGAGGAGTGAGGAGTAAATGATAAGTTGAGGATGGAGGAAGGAGGAGGAGGAGGAGGAGAAGTGGAGTGGAGAGGAGGGGGGAGGAGGATGAGGAGCGAGGAGGAGGAGGAGTGAGGGAGGAGGAGGAGGATGAGGAGGCGGAAAGGAGGAGTAGGATGCCGGATTCGGAGGGAGGAGGAAGAAGAGGAGGAGGAAGTGGAAGGTGGATGGAGAGGGGGATGAAGGAAGGAGGTAGGAAGAAGGAGGAAGAGGATATTGAGGAGGGGAGGAGGAGGGGGAGGGGAGGAGGAGTGAGTAGGAGGAGAGGAGGAGGAGGAGGAGGAGAGGAGGCGAGGTAGGAAGGAGGAGGGTGGATGAGAGAAGGGTAGGAGGGGCAGGAGGAAGGAGGAGGACGTCTGAGGAGAAGCGGATGGGCGGAGGAGGAGGAGAAGGAGGAGGAGGAGGAGGAGGGGGAGGAGGAGGGGATCGGCGATGCGGGGATTTGTCCGTGCCCAGCGCCTACAGGGAAGCGACGTCCTGGGACCCCATGGGTGCGTCGGATATGGACGGCACCTCACACGTGTTTTCCTCGCTCGCTCGATCCTGGGAGTGCTTGTCGCACCGGCGCGGCAGAAGGTGGAGCTCCAGGGGGCTCTGGCGATCACACGCCTGCGACCGACGGCGACGACAATTGGGTGCCTCACCCAGCAGGAGAGCCCAGGATCGAATCGACAAGTCGAATCTCGACGATCGAGAGTCAGCGGATCGGCGGAAGCCGACAGCCACCTCGGGATGAGTCGAATCGGCGGACACTGGCAGAGTAATAGGGCCTCACTGAGAAGCCGGAACCGAAATCGGAATCCGAAGCCGAATCGAATCGCAATCCAGAATCCGCCGAGGTCGCATCGAATCGAGTCGGAGGTACCGAAACGAGCCCTGAACTCAGCCCCGAAGCACCTTCCTTCTGCACATCCCCGTTCAATAGTGAAGGGGCCCTGGGACACACAAGCAAATAGACACAAATAACCAGATTCCCCATATTCTCCCATATGGTCTGGGTTTTTGTCTTCCCCCCCACTTCCCATATTTTCCTACATTTTCTAGGGAATCGACGATGAATTGTGACTGTGTGTTTTTCCCCTCCTGAAGTAGTCGCGCCTCCGTGCGCGGGCGTACGGCCCCCCGACCGGCGCGCGAGAATCCTGCGCGCCGACCCTGAGATTGATAGCAGGCGTCTCGCTCGCACCGCCTTCGGCCCGCACTACTGTCGGGAGTGGTTGGACTGGACACGCAAGAGGGCACGTTGCCTTTGCCCACCCGCCCCCCCCCCCCTAGAGAGCAGAAAACAATTATCCCGGCAAAGCAACCTAACAGCGATGTGTATAAGCATATCTGGAAGCATTCCCCTTCAGATTCAGGTGAGAAGCCAGTTGCAGAATAGTGCTGTTCTCGCAGTCGCAGTCGCATTCGCAATGACAGTCGCAGTAGCAACGGCCTTAGGATCCAATGGAATCCTAAGGATTCTTAGGCATCCTGAGGAATCCTTAGGAATCTTTAGCCTCAGCCTCCTCAGCCTCAACCTCAGCCTCAGCCTGCCTCAGCCTCAGTCTCAGCCTGCCTCAGCCTCCTGAGCCTGCCTCAGCCTCCTGAGCCTGCCTCGGCCTCAGCCTCAGCCTGCCTCAGCCTCAGCCTGCCTCAGCCTCAGCCTCAGCCTGTCTCAGCCTCAGCCTGCCTGCCTCAGCATCAGCCTCAGCCTCAGCCTCAGCCTGCGTCGGCTTGCCTCGGCCTCGGCCTCAGCCTGCCTCGGCCTCAGCCTCAGCCTCAGCCTGCCTCAGCTACAGCCTCAGCCTGCCTCAGCTACAGCCTCAGCCTGCCTCAGCCTCAGCCTCAGCCTGCCTCAGCCGCGGACTCAGCCTCAGCCTCAGCCTGCCTCAGCTTCAGCCTCAGCCTCAGCCTGCCTCGGCCTCAGCCTCAGCTTCAGCCTCAGCCTGCCTCGGCCTCAGCCTCAGCCTCAGCCACTCCGCCGTCGGCTCTCAGCCTCAGCCTTCCACACTACAGCCTCAGCCTCACCTCAGACTGCCTCAGAGCCTCAGCCTCAGCCTGCCTCAGCCGCAGTTTGCCTCAGCCTCAGCCTCAGCCTCAGCTTGCCTCAGCCTGCATCAGCCTCAGCCTCAGCCTGCCTCGGCTTGCCTCAGCCTCAGCCTCAGCCTCAGCCTGCCTCGGCCTCAGCCTCAACTTCAACCTGCCTCGGCCTCAGCCTGCATCAGCCTCAGCCTCAGCCTCAGCCTGCCTCAGCCGCAGTCTCAGCCTGCCTCAGCCTCAGCCTGCCTCAGCCTCAACTTCAACCTGCCTCGGCCTCAGCCTGCGTCAGCCTCAGCCTCAGCCTGCCTCAGCCTCAGCCTGCCTCAGCCTCAGCCTGCCTCGGCGTGCCTCAGCCTCAGCCTCAGCCTGCCTCGGTCTTAGCCTGCCTCGGCCTCAGCCTGCCTCAGCTCGGGCAATCAAAATATTGCACAGGATTGGTGTTCTGGGAACACGAAGATTACCAAGTGGCCCACAGTTGGCTCCGGGCAATCGAAATATGGTACAGGAATCGTGTTCCGAGAACACGCAAAGCACGAAGTGGCCTACAGTTGGCTCCGTGCATTCAAAATGTGGCCTGGGAATGGTGTTCTGGGAACACGAAGAACACGAAGTAGCCTATGATTGGCTCGGGGCATTCAAAATGTGGCCTGGGAATGGTGCTCTGGGACCACGAAGAACACGAAGTGGCCTACAGTTGGCTCCGGGCATTCAAAATGTGGCCTGGGAAGGGTTTTCTGGGAAGGCGAAGATCACGAAGTGGTTGATAATTGGCTCGGGGCATTCAAGCTGTGGCCTGGGGCATTCAAACTGTGGCCTGGAAATGGTGTCCTGGGAAGACGAAGAACACGAAGTGGCCTATAATTGGCTCGGGGCATTCAAAATGTGGCTTGTGAGTGGTGTCCTGGGAAGACGAAGAACACGAAATGGCCTACAGTTGGCTCCAGGCATTCAAAATGTGGCCTGTGTTCTGGGAACACGAAGAACACGAAGTGGCC